GACAGGGACCCAAGTACCTGAGCCATCGTCAAGTACTTGAGCTGCCTCCACGGCCGTGTACCAGCAAGAAGCAGCCCTGGAAGCAGAGTAGCGGGGACTCGAACCGGGCACTGTGACGGGGGCCAAGGGCCTCCTAAACAGTGACTTAAGCTGCTGAACACCCCATAAGTTTTTATTTTATTTTTTAGTAATGCCATCTGTCTTTTGAAGAACGTCGTATGAAAATGAACTGCCTTCCCATGCACTCATTGGTTCATCCCGACAGCAGTGGAGGAAGGAGAGACCATGCTGCAGACACTCCCCTAAGCCCAGGAGACAGGCAGTGAACCAGACAGCGGAGCACAGCGCCCCCTGCAGGAGAGGGAGAGAGTCAAGTAGAGAGAATCCAGCAGGCAGTGAGGAGAGTGGGAGGGAGCTCAGACCACAGGGAGGGGCTGACAGGAGGAGAGATAAGGTGACCGTGAACGAGGCCAGTCCAGAGAAGCCTGGCGATAGAGCACCCAAGAGGAGGGCCTCCGTGAGCATCCTAGAAGCAGGACGTGCAGAGGCAGCCGTGTGCGTTGCGTGGGCCAGAGGTAAGAAATGACTCACCAGAGAGAGAAGGGCGGTGGGCATTTGCTTGACTCCAGCTGTGCTCCCGGAGGCTGCCACACGCCTTACGTGGCATCATGTTACCCATTGTCCAGTTACAAGGAGGCAGCAGAGGTCACGATGTGGCCTGTTAGAAGCACACAAGGGTGCCTAGAACATCCCAGCAGTCTTGCTGGAAAGCCTTCCCAGCTCCTCTGTGGCTCTCTGTCTCGGAAGCCCTTGATCTCTCTCAACTAACACTGCAATGGGTGCAGGTAAGCGTAGAGTTGGAGCTGAGGTGCTCGTACATGGCGTCGCTGTTTCTGCAAACCACGTCGTGAGTGTAGAACAGCACTGGGAGCCGTTTGTCTTGTTTGCCAGGGCCATGCATATCAGCCCTAGACATGGAACATTTCCATTGTACAAAAAAAAAATTGTAGGAGAAAGCCGCTGTCAGTCATTTGCTCCTACAATTGGACATCGCTGTCCCATCTGCCCTAAGTAGCTTAGAAGCAGAAAGAACCTTCCATCATGGTCAAGTTCACCTTCATCCTTACTGCTGACTCTGAAAAATCTGTGAGTCAGTGCCGCCGTATTGTTAAACATGCAGTCACAAAAGAGCCCAGAACACACACGTGTGAAGCAGAACGTGGCCGGACGTGGACCTCACCTTGGAGGGTTCCTTGGAGGTCCCATGACTGCAGGAGAGGCCCCTGGGAGACCTGGAGGCGCCGTCCGCCCGGGTGTTCTCCCTGCACCTGAATCTTTGGACTTGGGTTCGTACTGGAGATAAGCCAGCCCCTCTAGGAGGAATTTTCAGGCTGACGCATGTCACAGGTGAGGCTGGTGATTGGTGCCAGCAGCCTTCCCTGTGTCTTTACGCTGGGTCTGATTTTCCCATCGACCACAGCTGGTGTGTGTTCATACAGAACTCGAACACTACTGAGCACCACAGTGTGCAGAAAAGCCATGCGCCCCTGCCATTTCCATACGTCAGGCTGTCACACCTCAGCGTCTGTCAGCTGTTTAGGGTCACAGAGAGCAAATGTCTCCCGCCAGTATGTCATTTGGTACAACCCCTCTCTATCTCAGCTTGAAAACACCCTGGAGCTGAATGTGGGGAGCCCCTCACTCAGGCCCAGCAGCTCATCCACACTGAGGGTTTTGAATCATGTGGCCTGCAAGCACATGGGTTACCATGGGCAGGTTCACCTTGTGAGGTTTGCTTGGCAGAACGCCCACGACAGAGACCCTGGAATTGTGAGCACCTTCGAGGGGTGCAAGCCATCGAGGCTTTTCAAGACTATCTGTGGTGGAAAGCGAGGTGCATTTGGTTATAGTTACTTCTCTAATTTGGAGTGGACCCTGCATGGTCTCACAGTGGCAGCCCAGAGCTAGGCTCGAGCAAATGCCACAAGCCACCACCTTGTAAGAACCCTGGAAAGTCTGCATTCTGAGTTGTTAATCACAGCCGGTAAAACGTGTGCTCTAGTCTAATGAAGAAAGAGCTTCAGCGTTTAATGTCACTTTTATTCTATTTCACAAAGTATTAGATCATAGATGCCATTTTTGCTTCCTTTTATAAAAAGTTTCTGTGCCGTTTTAAGAAGTCAAGGTCTTTTCCTGCAACAGACTTCACCCAGCCCTTGGAGGGGGTGGGGAGGGTGGGGGTGTTCCTAAAAGCACTCCAGAAATCAAGGGAAACAGCTGCACCTGAGATCTGTTCCCTCTCTGGTCCTCCAGGAGGGCAGGGGAGCCCATGGGCCATGCCTGGAGGCCCCCAGGTGTCGTGAGCCCCTGTGATGCCCCTACACAGCCTCAAACATCTCTGGGGGTCTCAGGCTGTCTCTGTCTGATTTCTGTCGCTCTAACAGAGCACCGGAAACTGTTTTATGAAGAGCGGGGGTTTAGTTAGCCCACAGTACCAGAATCCAGGAGCATGGTGCTGGCATCTGCATGGCTTCTGGTGAGAGAGCCCCAGACAGCTTCACCTCGTGGTAGGAAACGGAAGAACAAGGGTTGGAGATCGGGGCGGGGAAGCATACCAAAGGAGAGAAGGGGCCAGACTCCGAGTGTGGCTGACCTGTTCCTGCAAGGAGAACATCACCCATCTGAGAGGGCTCCACCCCCACAACCCAGCACCCTGGCACCCTCCAAGACCCTTACGTTGGCAGCTACCCTGCAACAGGAGCTTCATTGGCACCAACTGTGTTCCTAGCACAGCGCAGGGTTTGTGGTCCCTGAATCTGCCTGACAGACCCTGACCCAGGCAGTTCATGGTTGCTCACAGGGTACCAAAGGCCTTTGGTCCATGGTCAGGGTGCAGGTGTGTGGTGGGAGCCTGAAGCCTGGAGAAAAGTGGCCACAGCGTCTCCCTCCCCAGACAGGAGAGACCAGGGAAAGGGTGCAGTGTACGGTGCATCACTGCACCTGCAGCACAGCCCAAGGGCACAGTCCCACTCCCCGTGCATTACAGATCAGGAGCCGGGAGCTCAGAGAGGCCGCAGCACTCAGTGAACGTGCGTAAGGCCAAGGCTGGATCCCAGCTCTGGGGAGTCCAAACCCAGGGCTTTACTAGGATTGCCCCGGAGTCCTCTAGCGTTGAAGATTGTAGAAAAAAATTAATTGTGCACAGGGACTAGCTGAAGATCTTGTTAGAAATGCGTGTTTTGATTCAGGTCTGAAATGTGTTTCTTATTTTTTTTTTTTTAATATTTACTTACTTGTCTGAAAATTGGAGTTAGAGAAGGAGAGGCAGGGAGAGAGAGAGAGGTCGTTCATCCACCGGTTCACTCCCCAGTCAGCCACAATGGCCGGAGCTGTGCTGATCTGAAGCCAGGAGCTTCTTCTGGGGGTCTCATGTGGGTGCAGGGGCCCAAGGACTTCTCAGACCATAGCAGAGAGCTGGATCGGAAGTGGAGCAGCCGAGTCTCGAACTGGCGTTCATATGGGATACTGGCACTGCAGGCGGCGGCTTTACCTGCTACGCCACAGCGCCGGCCCCTGGAGTGTGTTTCTGATAAGCTCCCAGGTGATGGTCCTTTGGAAGAGCAGATCGCCAGGCTGGCCAGCAGCCCCACACGCCACAGGAGGAAGCAGGCATCCACTGATTCTACGAACAGTGGCTTCACCAAGCAGAAATCCTCCCTAACTGCTCCCGGCACTTCAGATCTGTGAGCTGTGTGTGGGCTTTTTCATATGTGATTGTGGAAGCTCCTGAGAAAGTAAAATTAATATGTTTGTACCTCTTTCTGTTAACTCTTTTTCTAAATTGTAAGAGCAGGGACTGGCACTGTGGCATAGTAGGCCAAGCCTCAGCCTGTGGCGCCGGCATCCCATATGGGCACAAGTTGGAATCCCGGCTGCTTCTCTTCGGATCCAGCTCTCTGCTGTGGCCTGGGAAAGCAGTGGAGGATGGTCCAAGTGCTTGGACTGCTGCACCCATGTGGGAGACCCGGAAGAAGTTCCTGGCTCCTGGCTTCAGATCAGCCCAGCTCTGGCCATTGCAACCATTTGGAGAGGGAACCAGCGGATGGAAGACCTTTCTCTGTCTCTCCCTCTCTCTGTAACGCTACCTCTCAAATAAATAAAATCTTTTTAAATGGGCAAATAAGAATACCATGGTAGGTCCTCTCCTTTCAAACTTGGACTTCCTAGTTTTTCTTTTATTTTTTTAAGATTTTTTTATTTGAAAGAATTAGTGAGAGGAGGAGAGAAATGAGGGGAGAGAGAGAGGGAGGGAGGGAGGAAGGGAGGGAGTGAGAGAGGTGTCTTCCATCCTTTGGTTCACTCCCCCAGATGGCTGCAACATCCGGGGCTGGGCCAGGGCAAAGCCAGGAGCCAGGAGCTCCATCCAGGTCTCCTCATGGGTGGCAGGGGTGGGCCATCTGCTGCTTTCCCCAGACCATGAGCAGGGACATGAACTGGCGCCCATGTGGGATGCGAGCCCCTGGTTTTTCTTGTAAATGGACATGATCACTGTGGGGCAGGTGGCTGGAGGACTGGGTGGTCCCACAGCTGAGGACCTGGGTGGTGGAGTCATGACTTTCTCTCACAAGTCTGGCCTGAGATTCCTCCCACCCTGTGCCTTGGGTCTATTGGTCACTCCACCATCACAGACTAGGTGCTCCTCAGGTGCAAAGGGTGCTGTGGGTTCACGGGCTGCCAGCTTCTCACAGGTACCGCCTTTCCTTCTGCAAGTCCAACTCCTGACTTAGAACGGAACACTTCTTCCCGTGCCCCTGCCCACAGCCTCTCCCCTCAGGCCGAGAGGAGCCGCCGATGTACGAACGCACCCTCAAATGCCTTCTCTCGCCCACCCCGCCACCACCTCCAGGTGCAGCCTCCAGCCGAGTCCCGGCGCACTCCTCCCTGCCGCTCTTTCCCTGAAAAAATGACCGATTGTTTTTCCCACGTGTGCTTGTTTTTAGAAAGCCAAGCTGGGGCCCGCTGGCAACAAGGTGATCAGTCCCTCGGAAGACAGGAAGCAGCCGTCCAACAACCTGGACCGAGTGAAGCTCACCGACTTCAACTTCCTCATGGTCCTGGGAAAAGGCAGTTTTGGGAAGGTATGGACGGCCGTGTGCAAGGTAGAGGGGCGCATGCAGGGGTCGTGGGGGGCGGGGGCTGCTCATGGAGGTTTCCAGAACAGCCCGTTAGGTTTCCCTGCTGTTCATGCACATTGCCCCATGTTTCCTGCTTGTTGCATGAAAAGCCAGCTGTATCCAAAAAGCTGCAGCAGGTGCACCACAAAATGAGCATTCCAGAATGTTGGCTGCATACACGTTGACCTAGGGTGAGCAGAGGTAGCCGTTCAGAGACACTGGGACAGGGTCTTCCACAACCAGGCTCGCTCTCTCTTCACTTCTGCAGCCCACGACTCGGGATGCACCCAGGAACCCAGTTCAGTCCTGCCCTCTTCTGTGTCCGGGCTCCCGGCGGGTGGGTTCGTAAAGCTCAGTCGCATTTCACCCCAGGGATGCTTTTGGCCAACTGTGCGTGATTCCAGATTGATCCCCACACACGAGACCGACCGTTCCTTTCGGCAGCCAAAACAGCGCCATCCCATGGCAGCAGCCTACACGGTACACAGATAGCAGCAGTTCCGAAGTCGGATGCTGCAGGGGTTCAGCTTGTGGCATCTGCACAGAGGTTTTCGTCCCGTGTTCCCGTCACACACCTGTACCTTTGCATCAGCTGTCACTGAACCGTCACCTGGCCCCGCCGCAGGCCCAGGTGTCTGCTCAGAAGTGACCGGCCGGGCCTCGGTCTGTTCTCAGGTGATGCTGGCGGACAGGAAGGGCACGGAAGAGCTGTACGCCATCAAGATCCTGAAGAAGGACGTGGTGATTCAGGATGACGACGTGGAGTGCACCATGGTGGAGAAGCGGGTTCTGGCCCTGATGGACAAGCCGCCCTTCCTGACACAGCTGCACTCCTGCTTCCAGACCGTGGTAAGGACCCCGGGGTGTCGTCTGGGCAGCGTCTGAACCAGTGCATGCAGTGGGCAGGCTGGAAACGGCAGGACTGGGAGACAGGCCGTGGGCACGGGGCAGCTCTCACCCCTCTGCCACGGGTAGCTTGAGGGCATCTGCCTCTGTGAGGTCCTCTGCACAGAACCTTGGCACTCATTCCGTTTAGTTCAAGTGGGCCCCCCATGTCTACAACTTCCCCATCCTCAATGCCAAGCAACCGTGGGTCACAAATATTTGGGGGGAATGGCATCTGTACTGGAAACATCCAGACTTCGGTCTTGTCCTTATCCCCTGTCTACAGTGTTGTAAGCGCCCAAGAGCTGGCTTAATGTATTCAGGAGGATGTGTGGGAGGATGTGTGCAGTTCTAGGCAAACACTTGGCCATTTTATATAAGGGACTTTGGCACCCAGGAGAGCCCTGGAACCAATCCCTCAGGGACACCAAGGGATGACCGTATATGCAGGGTTTTCTTGTGCTGACTCGAGAGAGATGAAAGCAAGAACTCACTCGCAGCTCCGGCTGTTTAAGACCCCCAGTCCTGCTGCCAGGCATAGTACTGGGACGTTGGGAGATAAAGTACCACACTGATGTTTAACGACACACAGCACCGCTGCCAAACTGGGCCTGGCTTGTCCGGCCAGCAAGCGCTAAGAAAGGTGTGCACAGGAAACCCAAATAATACTAGTTGGTATAAAAATTTTGGGGACCAACACTGTGGCGTAGTAAGTTAACTTTCTACCTGCAGTGCCGGCGCTGTGGCGCAGCAGGTTAACACCTTTGCCTGAAGCACTGGCATCCCCTATCGGTGCCGGTTCAAGTCCCGGCTGCTCCACTTCCAATCCAGCTCTCTGCTATGGGCTGGGAAAGCAGTAGAAGATGCCCAAGTCCCATGCATCCACATGGGAGACCTGAAAGAAACTCCTATTTCCTAACTTTGGATCAGCTCAGCTCTGGCTGTTGTGGCCACTTGGGGAGTGAACCAGCAGATGGAAGAACTTTCTGTCTCTCCCACTCTCTGTCTGTAACTCTACCTCTCAAATAGATAAAACCTTTTTTTAAAAAAATATTATATTGTTGGCTGGCACTGTGGCTCACTAGGCTAATCCTCCACCTGCGGCACCGGCACACCGGGTTCTAGTCCCGGTTGGGACGCCAGTTCTGTCCCAGTTGCTCCTCTTCCAGTCCAGCTCTCTGCTGTGGTCCGGGAGTGCAGTGGAGGATGGCCCAAGTCCTTGGGCCCTGCACCCGCATGGGAGACCAGGATAAGCACCTGGCTCTTGGCTTTGGATCAGTGCAGCGCACCGTCCGTGGCAGCCATTTGGGGGGTGAACCAATGGAGGGAAGACCTTTCTCTCTGTCTCTCTCTCTCTGACTAACTCTGCCTGTCAAAAAATAAATAAATAAAATTTTTTAAAAAGATTATATTGTTAAAAAAATTTCTATGAAGTTCAAGTTTTTGCCCTAGCACACAGCTGTGCGCAGCCTGTTAGCCATAGCTGCTTTTGCACACAATAAAGGCGGAGTTCAGGACGGCATTTGCGAGGGGCCCACAGAGCCCAAGATATTTCCTGGTGGCCCTTTAAGGAAAGAGGTCGCTGAGCCCTGTCTTAGGACAAAGAAGTCACTCCAGCGCCCTGGTCAGCCAGCGGAGGGCTTGCCAGTGGCGCCTAGGAAGTCCCACAGCAAGGCACTGCCAGACAGCCTGGCCACGCTCAGAGCCCGCCCCTTTTACGTGCAGCTCACTAGCTGTGGCCCTGGCCACTCTCATGGTGATTATTTTCAACTGCTTGCTGGTCAAAAAACTCACTTTGTATTGTCTGCCTGTCTTTGAAAACTCTGGAGAGGCGCCCCTCCAGGCTTTTGGGCTTCTGGACTTTCGGAATCTTGAACTGGCAGTGCAGCCACAGCCTGGGTGCACAGTGGAAGCTGCGGGGCCAGGCGCCGGCCACTGAGTGGCAGCCTCGCTCTGGTGGTGCCGGCAGCTGCCCCAGTCCCTGGCAGAGCCGAGCAGCACAGCGGCGCCCTAGGAAGAGGAGCTGGGTCTCTGAATCCCAGCCCAGACCCCGTAACCCTGGTTACACGGCTCTGGAAAGCTACAAAGCAGAAAAACAGAGAGGAAATTAAAGTTCATAATAGGAAAGCTAGGGAGGGAAGCCCCCAGGGCTGCTTTCTGGCTGTTAGCACCAATTTCATTTTTTTTTTCTGCCTCTACAGCACTTTCATGTGTAACAACCTCTGTGAAATGGGGATGTTTGCTGGGAGAGAGGTCAGCTTTTACCTTGTGGGCTGTGCTGTTGGGTTGTTTTTTGAAAGGCAGGAGTTACAGAGACAAAGAGTGAGACAGAGCTCTTCACTTCCCAAATGGCTGCAATGGCTGGGGCCGGGCCAGGCCAAAACCAGAATCCTGGAACTCCATATGGGTCTGCCACGTGGAGGCAGAGACCCAAGCACTCAGGCCCTCTTCCACTGCTTTTCCCAGGTGCATTGGCAGGGAGCTGGCTTGGAGCAGCCAGGACTTGAACCAGCACTGAAATGAGATGCTGATGTCGCAGGTGGTAGCTTAACCTCTGTGCCACCATGCTGGCCCCACTATTTGTTATGTCACTGCTAGACCCCTCCACCTCCCCCATCTGTCCCAGCACCGTGTTCTCATAAACACACAGACTGGGTGGGTTCTGTAAGGCAGATTTCCTTGGTGGGGCCAACACATAGCATACCAGGGGCAGAAAGCAGAAAGTCAATACTGGGGCATATTGTGGTTGCAAAAGGGCATTTATCGTAATAACAGCCTGTCCACTTATGGTCCGCCCTCTCCCCTGCCCAGTATCACTGAGTATGTATGATCCTCGCCCTGAACCTCAGCCAAGACACGTGTTTTCAGAGGCACCATGCAAGCATGCTGTAACATTAGCGTGGATGTGTACTAGGCACTGCACACCAGCCCTGCAACATCGGGCCACCGAGAGGCACTAGTTCAAATGAGATTGGCAACCAGCGTGCACCCTTCGTACTGTCCGTAGGCCAGAGATGCATTAGGAGTGTGGGAACTTAGGGAAGAATCAGAAGCCGTTAACACCCTAGAGAATGTACTTCACCAAGTGGAAGACGCTTGGACAGCTGACGGTTCAGAGTCACGACCTTGTACTTCCCACAGCGCGTATGTGATAGTGCTTGCTCATCCCTTAGCCTTTCTTTGGGGGAACAGCCATTTTGAGGCGCTGCAAATGGAGCGGGTCTGCCCATGCAGCATGCGTTATGCTCACGAGAAAGCCAAGCGTGGCCCATGAGGCGGGAGGGAGCCCCTGCTCACGTGTGGGCCTTGATCTGCAGGACCGGCTGTACTTTGTCATGGAATACGTCAACGGCGGAGACCTCATGTACCACATCCAGCAAGTGGGAAAGTTCAAGGAGCCACAAGCAGTGTGAGTACTGATGTTAAGTCCCTTACTTCAGACAACCCAGTCCTCCCGACGGGGGACTTCTGCCAGGTCAAATGTCAAAGGGTAGCTCTGCTGTTGGGGGTGGGCCCTGTGACCTCCCAGGGGGCAGGTTTATTGGCAGTTTATGTCCATACCCAAGGCCATCGGGGGCACACTCCCTGATTAATCAAGTTAGCAAATGTTCGCAGGATGCTGGCCGGCATTCAAGCTCGAAGATAAAGCAGATGAAGTTGTGGCCGGCATGGGATTACCTGCCCTGGGGAAGATTAGCTGAAGGCAGAACCGGGAATTCTTGGGTAGCGAGCTTAAGAGATGTGAAAGGGGATTTCTCTGCTCTTATTTTTGCTTTAGTTTTCAGAAATACCACCTTTATCCCCGTCTCCCACGTCGCTGGTTACAAAGCATGGAGATGCTCGGATTGTAGAACAGCTCAGAGCTATACAGAACAGAGAGCAGGAGCTGCCTCGCAGCCTGGCATGAAGGGGTCTTAGCCGTGGCCTTTCGTCATATTTCTGTGGCAGGAAGGGTTTTTTTTAGAAATACTGAAAGGCATGAGAAATCACGTGACAGCCACCTGCAGTCCCATCCCTCCTCCTTCCCCGCCCTGCGTGAGGAGTTGGTCTACCGTGGCAGGCTTCTTGGCCCTGTGTATAGGACGCGTGTGCTTGTTTGAAGCCTCCTGGGTGTGATAAAGGCACAAGCGCGGATTCTCAGACTTCAAAGACTCCCAAATGGCACGCAGATGCTAAAACATCCTTCGGCACTTCCTCTGCGTTTCGGATATTAACCTATTAACGATTTTGAAGAGAGGGTGGTAACTGCTTTTTTATGATGAATTATTTAACAGGGTAAACTCAAATATAAATCATGGTGTGCGTCCCATTTATGCCAGCACTTGGGGAGGAGTTGAATAAACTCCCTAAAGAATCCATTACCCACTAAGCTGTGGTTGTCATTTCAAACACCACCACCCTCTCTTCTCTACTCTTACTCGGGACACAGGAAAAGGTCTGGCGAGTGTCCGATCTTTAGCCGGCTATCTCAGAAAGTACTTTGCAGATAGTGAATCACCTGTCCACCCTAGCCAACAAGAGCATCCCTGCCTCACTGACTGTGCCGGCTGGACCTTCTCAGGGGAGTGGGTAAGAGGGCAGAGGAGGGAAGGGCCGCGACTTGGAAGGACATGGGTGGGTGACACTGATGTCTGAAAATCTTAGGGTCTTGCCTTCTTGTATCTCTTTGACACTGGACTTGAGGGTTAAGGGGATCTACAAGTGCAAAGAAGCAAACCAGCAACCTGAAGCGCATTTTCTTTTGCAGATTCTATGCAGCAGAGATTTCCATTGGGCTGTTCTTCCTTCACAAAAGAGGGATCATCTATAGGTGTGTATCAGAGCTCTCCCAGCACGGGGACTTCAGGTGCCGGGCTGATTCCTGCCAGCGTAATAGAGACCCATGGTGACCCGCTTTCTCTGCAGCCTGGGGATAAATCAGTCACCATCTGATGTCTTAGACCTCAAAGATTTTCTATCTGGTTTCCACCCTCACGTTTTTCTCTCCACCACCAGCTTCTTCCTCTGCCTTTTATTTGGAACAGAGGTCAGGGAGCAGTGGGTGCTGAGTTTCTGGTACACTCATACCCGCTCAGTGGGAGAAGGGCATGGGGACCTGGGGACTGGCAAGGGAGAAAGTGTTGGATTGACCCCTGGCTGTTGTTAGCTGCAGTGAGAATCTGGTGCCCACGCAAGAACATCGTCAGTGTCCGAAGAGGAGGAATGCAGGGGACATGTGGCCCAAGGCAGAAAGGAAGGGACACCTGTGTGGCACAAGGAGGTGACACTGCACAGGCCGTGAGGGGTGTCAATAGATTAAATAGTTGGAATCGCTCCAAAACTGCTCACTTGGAATCCCTGGATTCATGGGCACAGCAAAGATTGGAGACCACAAGTTCAGCTCTTCACTCATTCATTCAGTATGCATTTAGGGACCTGCCGTATCCCAGGCCCTGTGCTGGGCTCTGAAGTCCCCGCTCCCTAGGGACTTAGAGTCAACGTGGCGTTGCGATGGCAGCCAGCCAAACGCCCATCGGTTCCACCGGCTCCCAAGGACGGGTCTGATGCTTACCTGCTTCCTTGCAGGGACCTGAAGCTAGATAACGTCATGCTGGACTCGGAAGGACACATCAAAATCGCTGACTTTGGGATGTGCAAGGAACACATGATGGACGGGGTCACCACCAGGACCTTCTGTGGGACTCCAGATTACATCGCCCCGGAGGTAGGGACCCCAGTAGAACAGCACTTTGGAACTGCAGACCCCGCTCCTTGCCCACTGGAAGGCTTTGTGTGTCCCTGGAGCTCCCATCTCGGTTGCACGTGTGTGAGCGAGCGTGCGTGATCAGATGTATTCCTTGCATAGCCATGGTCAAAAGAGTTGAAGAAGCACTGTTGGGTGGCGAGAGCTTGTGAAACATACCCTTCCTGGAAAAGCTGACTTAGAAGGTGGTAGCGGCCGGCGCCGCAGCTCACTAAGCTAATCCTCCGCCTTGCAGCGCTGGCACACCGGGTTCTAGTCCCGGTCGGGGCACCGGATTCTGTCCTGGTTGCCCCTCTTCCAGGCCAGCTCTCTGCTGTGGCCCGGGAGTGCAGTGGAGGACGTCCCAAGTGCTTGGGCCCTGCACCCCATGGGAGACCCGGAGAAGCACCTGGCTCCTGCCTTCGGATCAGCGCAGTGCGCCGGCCGCAGCGGCCATTGGAGGGTGAACCAATGGCAAAAGGAAGACCTTTCTCTCTGTCTCTCTCTCTCACTGTCCATCCTGCCTGTCAAAAAAAAAAAAAAAAAAAAAAAAGGTGGTAGCAAGGGTGGTTTTGTAACAACATCCGAATGGATTAATGCTCAGAAGCGCATCCCGTGTATTTGCGAGCAGAATGGTCCCGGGATCCGAACCCTGCAGCAGTGGCCATGGAGCTCTGCCTGTGTGACAGCACACACCAAGGGTTTTTTTTTTTTTTCCTACTTTGTGATGCTTCCTACATGCTGGTGATAGAACAGGTCGTGTCACCCGGGTTGCTGGGTAGCCAGCTCTCTGTCCACAACCAGCCCTGAGGATGCAACAGTTTTTTTTTCCAGTTGTGCTGGGAAGCAAAAGTGGCCACAGCGGGTGGCCGAGTTTTCTCCACCAGCCGTGGGCAGCAGGTCTCGCATTCAGTCAACACTTTGTCCCATACATTATCTGGGAGGCAGTGAGGAAGACACGCCCAAGAGCCAGACAACATGAGCTGTGCCCCTAACTGTTATTTACAGACTGTGGGAGCTCGGGGGTGAGTTCCTTAACCCCACTGAGCCCCCATTTCTGCCCTGGCAAGTTGGGGCTCATGACAGCCTCCATGTAGACTCGCTTTGAGGACTCCAGTGTCTCAGGTGAGATTCCGCGCCTGGCCTGACCCTGGGTAGCAGTCAGTATTCCAGAAGGGGGAGCTGGTGTTTATGCCCTTGGGAAGGGCCTTTTCGGCCTGGAAACTGAGCGTTCACTTAGAAATTTGAATTCGGAATTACAGAAGCAGAGGTGATACGTTACTTGATGGGGTTCCCAAAGCGCTCTCGCATTAGCATCTCCTGGCATAGCTGTCCTGTTTCTCAGACATAGAGACAGAGAGGGGACGGGACCAGTCCCTCCCGATGTGGGCTCGGTTCTGAGGCCTGCCTGCACCCAACAGGCGCTGAGCGGGCTGAGACAATGATCCTTGCGGGCTCCGTGTGACAGCCCGCCAGATAACACAGAAGCCCGGGGACACGCTGGGGATGGCAGCGTTTCCAGGGGTCAAGGTGGCTTTGAACTTCATCTCCTTTAAGACCAGGGCTCCAAAGATCAAACGGCTTCTTGTGTTCAGCAAGGAGAAGTTTCCCGTATCATTGAGTTTTGTCGGCCTGCATGCCCCTGGCCTTTGTCCTTTTTGGTTGGCAACACTGGGTGGAGAGTCTCCTGTCACCACAGCAACAAAGGAGCCCAGATTTGCCAGCCTGAAACAGAAGTGGAAACGCAGGGGCAACACAGACTCATCTTCTCACAGTCCAGGAGCCCAGAATCGCTCTCAGGGCTGGTTCTTCCTGGAAGCTTTCGGGCAGGGGGTGTCGGAGGGGGACCATCTCCTGGCCTTTTCCAGCCTCTAGCAGGGGTGGAGAACCTTCTTCTTTCTGCCCAGGGCCATCTGAAGGTTTATAGCATCATTTGGGCCATGTAAGTTACCAACTGAAAAAATCAGCCTGCTAAAGAGTTGTGGAGTTTTGAGTCCCACCTGCAGTGGCCTTGGCGGGGCCAGACCGAGTGATTTCGTGGACCTCACAGGGCCCGCAGGCCGAGCGTCCCCCACCGCTGCCGCCCACATTCTCGGCTCTTGAGACCACGCGCAGCCTCCAGTCTCTCTCTGACCTTCCCGTGAGGTCCCCATGATGCTCTGGGCCCATGCAGTGACCCGGGAATCATCTGTCCCAATGTCCTTGCTGCAACCTCTCTCCTGCCACGTCACAGCAGTGTTCTGGATGTAGGGCTGTGCACATCTTTAGGGGGGAGTGACATTAGTCAGCCTGTCCCACTGGTGGTGCTGGCATTCTGTGCAGGCCACTCTCCCCATCTTCCTCCGACAGCCACGGGTAACCACACTTGTCACACACCTCCATAACTTTGGGCCTCTTTGTGCACAGAGAATAATAAGCTCTCATTCTACGTAAACTCTCCTCTCTAACGTCCTCATGCCTCTCCATAGAGCCGCTGCACGTGCCATAATAAAGGGTGCGACTTCTGTGTATTGAGTGCCTACTGTGTGCCAGGCCCCAGGTACATTTAGCCCTCATCACAAACCCATGCTCCAGGTGAGATGACCAAGGCAGTAAACACCCGTGTAGGACCACGACGCTAACAAATGCCAGACTTCGGCTTCAACCCCAGCTCAGGCCGTCTTCAGACCTCCTACCGCGCCCTACAACCTGACCCGTCCGAGCGCTTCCACCATTGCGTGCGCCTACTGTGCCAGGCCCCAGTGCCGCTGGGAATACAGCATGTCAGGGAGGGGCCGTGCAGCTTAGAAGAGGTGTGACGCTCGTGCAAACAGGCAGGACCCAAGAGCTGTGTTTAGATCCCAGTTGAATTTCATAGAAAAATAAAACAAACCACGGCGCTGCGGGGAACTCAATCAATAATCACTTCTGCTTGTTTCGCCTTCTGCTGGCGTTCCCCGGAGCATTCAGGAATTCATGGCCACAGAGACAGCAGATGGGTTCAAGGCTCCAGAGCTGGCTCGGAGGTTAAAGTCATCCTGTCCTCTGTGCAAATCTTCTCGTCAGGCAGAGGCAGGATAATTATCGTAGCTGGCATTTTCCTTGATAGGCAGCGCAGAGGCTTGAGTGTTTATGGTTATTTGTTCAAAAAGCCTTGAAATCAATTAACACTCTGGCATCCCCTTAACCTGCACAGACAGGCGGAGACGGGCACCGTGACCCACGCATGTGAGCGGGTGCCCACGGAGGAGGCACGGGGCAGCGGGGGCGTCCCAAAGCAGAGACAGAGGCCTCTGCTTTGGCAGGGAGAGGACTCCCCAGGTCCTTGAGCGGAGAAGGCCGAATGAGGAAGCTTCTTCCGGTTTCGCTCCCCCCTACAAGTCAGTTACTCGGAGGCAAGAGGGGCCGGCCCAGGTCGGCATCAGACCCCACACTTTCCCGGCACGAGAGGCGGCAGGCGGGGCCTCTGCTCCTGGAAGTGTCCTACGCCCCTCTGCTTGTTTAAGTGGGGCCAGGGATAGGCCAGACCACGCACCGGGCCGGCTGCTCTGGGCGCGTCCTCTGATGGGTCACGGTTCACACCTGAGCAGTCACGCACACCAGCCGGCACCAGGCCAGGTGAGAGTGTTGCATCATCTGCAGGCTCTTGGGAGAAGAGCAGTCAAACTGAGCACTTGGCTAGGAGCCCGCCGGGACTGGAATCAGGGGCCCAGTCAGGGACTGGGAGTTGTGTCCAGCTGTTAATCCCGGCACACCCAGGGGTAACCAGGGATGAGGCAGTAGTTGGAAGCCGCTGCCCAGCCCAGGGCACTGGTCAGTTGGCACTGGCACTGCTGCAGGCCTAGGGGGGTCCGGCCAGAAGGGGAGCCCCGAGGAAGGACCTGCCAGGTGGGCCTTGGTGCTGGAGCTGGTTTAGAATGGTAATTGCAACCCAGGAGACAGGAGACGTGGGTACAGAGATGTGGTCAGGACATAGCACTCTTGGCGGCGACACCCACTCTTCCTGGCTAAAATCCTGGGGGTGCGGTTGCCCACCTTGTAGCCAGCTGCCTGTCAGCAGAGGGACAGAGGCCTGTGTGGGTGAGGATCAGGTACGATCAGGGAGCTGGAGACGGGTCCTGGGTGTGGCTCCTGGGTCCCAGCCCTGCAGGAATGCCAGCCCAGCGATGCCTGTGACAGCACCCGGATGTCTGCATCCCACGTGACATCTCCTAATTGTGCTAGGTGGGCTCTAACCCAACAGGGAGAGTGATAAGGACTGCAGGGGAGGTTTCCGCAATGGGCCGTCAGCTGGGACCTCCCTTCTGGATGGGTCCAGGATCCCCCGTTCAGGGCAGATGGGAGCAGAGGGACCAAGAGATTCCTGGAAGGGAGGAGAACTGGAGAGCTGTTGGTGTGGGACCCTGAGGAAGGCAGATGCCGTGGGACAGAGGTCGGGGAGGTGTGGCAAGGAACTGGCCACCAGGAGCCCGTGGTCCCTGAAAGAGCAGTGTCTGTGACAATGAGCCTGGACTTGACAGCCCCAGCAGGCAGGGCGGGCGCTTGAGGGCTTTGAATAAGGGTAGGGGTGGGGACAGTGAGAGGGGCAGGAGGCAGCCTGGGAGCAGAGCTGGGGATATCGCTGGGACCCCAGATTCCACAAGGGCCCTGAGACGCTTGGCCCTCTGCTTCCTTGTCTGTCCCCCTCCCCCACTCTGCCCCGTCTCAGCTCTGCTCCCACCCACCCCGATCCCCAGCACACCTGGGCGGCTTCCCTGCCACTCCCCAAACTTCCCACACGCCCACCTCACCTGGGCTGTGCTGCCTCCCGTCCCCCCCTTCCCTGTGCCCTGCCCTGAGTGCCCAGGTGGCTCCCCGATTTGCCTCCTTCAAGTCTTCATCTGGATGTCAGCTTGTGCAGGTCCCCTGGCCTGGCAGGCAGGACACCTGGGGCAGTGGGAGACGAAGACCGGGGTACCCAGAGGGTCAGGAACTCCAGCGTCCAGTTACTGGGCCGTGACAGG